TTGCACTTCTTTGACATGATTGAGCACTGTATTTGGGATTCTTAGACAACAAACACTCTTTAAGAAAAGCAACATAAACGAGATGACAGCCTTTATCCCATGGATAGTTTCTGTTGGATTATTTTTTTTGGTCATATCTTCAGTCTAAATTGCCAAATTTTAAAAGTACAGTCAAGCATCATAAAGATCCTGTACAAATGATTTTCACATTATCTACCCTGTGAATCCCTTCTAATCGAGCTAATTATCAAGTATTGAAAATGATACAATTTTTGAGAGCAAATAACCCCCAAGGGAAATCTACATGTGATGTGGACTGAGATTTCATGTACTCTCATTTCTTTCTCTTAGAGTCAGCAAGCCGTTTACAGATGATTCTGAATGAGATTCAGCCACGAGATACTAATGATTACTTCAGCCAAGCCAAAATATTGAAAGAATGTGATAGCTTTGATTTAAAGGACTTGAATTTCACTGTGTCGAAAATTGATATGTCTGCAGAAATCAAAGGTAACATGTGTAAAATTGACATTATCATCAGTGTTTAAGTAACAAGTAAAATGTATAGAATGCCTATTTTATATACTAAATTAGAGGCTGCAGATCTGTGTAGAAAATTTCTAGAAAATAAAACTTTTTTAAAATTTGGTTTAGGGAATGATTTGGTTTTAGAAATGAATTTATAAGACTTTTACCAGAAAAAGGTGGGTGCAGTGGCTCATGGTTGTAATCCTTGCACTCTGGGAGGCCAAGGCAGGAAAATCACTTGAGGCCAGTTGTTCAAGGCTGCAGTGAGCTATGATCGTGCCACTGCATCAAGCCAGTGCAGCATTTAATGTGCTACAATAAATAGCCTTTGAGTGCTAAAAGCTGCCTTGACAGCCCAGGTGATAGAAGAGCAGTAATACACGATAAACCTGGGTTTGGGCAGCAGTCAGCTTCTTCCAGCAGTATGGTTCATTGTCTGCTATGGGAGTTCTTGAAGTCAAGCAGCTTTTTAAAGGAAACAAACCTTATTGCGCAGTAAAACGAGAGCTGCTTTGTTGTAATAAGCTTCCGGAATTCAAGCTCTTATAGCTCGTTTTATGGTTAGTTGTTATTGAATTTTCTGTAATGCTGTAAGAAGTCATCAGAAGCAGTAATTTCATAGCGATCTATTACATATTCTGCATTCTCCACTAGATGGGGATGTTGTCTTATAAAAAGTTCTTTTTTGTGCTTATATATTTTTTAAATTAAACAAAATAACATATAAATATATATCTATTATAGTAGTTTAGAGGTAAATATGAATTAAAAACAAATTAAAGTCTTCGTCTGTTTCTTCCCCAATTCCATGTTTTCTCTCTTCAGTGTACAGTATATTTTTTTATACCTTCGTTGTGTATTTATGTGTATGTACACTTATCTTTTTAGTTTAGTGGGCTTTTTAAAAATACAAATGGGATTATACTATAAATATCATTTTGTCAACTTGCCTTTTCAATTTAATAGTTTATCTTGGATTTTTTTTTTATGTCAGTACTAACATACTCCTAAAACTAGAGTAAGAGAGTAAGTAAGGGTAATTGTATCTTACTGACCATGTGATTTAAAGATAATTTTAAAGAAGATTTGTATTTTCCTTTGATTTTAAAAGTTCTGTCCTACTCCTTTGCTGATATAACAGCCATCCTTACCAAAATAAAAAAGAAGTATATTTGTTATAGTCATCTATCTAATACTTTATGGATGACAAAGAGGCAGAGTTTGTTTCTGATTTTCAAAGTTTAGACTTAAGTTTTGAAACAATATTGTGTTTTATTTTTAAATCTATTTAGAAAATAATAAATAAAAAAAAATACTTAGCATGATTCCTCCTAACACATGCTTGATAAATGTTAGCCTTTTTCTTCTGAATAAATATAACATGACAAATTGGCTTGTTCCAGCAGATTATTCTTAGGGAAATTATGAATAAGCTTGTTCTAAGAAACCTGGGATGTGAGTAATCAAGAGTGTCTAGTGTTATAACATATTTTTTTTTTTTTTTTTAAGGTAAAGAAGGAAAAACATGTGATGTAACTGCTCAGATGGTGCTGGTATGTTGTTGGAGAAGTATGAAGGAAGTTGCTTTACTTTTAGGCACACTGTGCCAGCTTCTACCCATGAAGTCTGTGCCAGAATCTTCTGATGGATTATTAACAGTGGAGCAGGTAAGGTAGATGTTTATTCCACCAGGTATAATTTCTAGTCAATGCATAAATCACAAGCTTTTATTTATAACCCAACTTAAAAAATAGTTTTAAATTTTTCTTGAATAAAATGCTACAAATGCCAACTGAAGAAAGTTCATGGGAATTTAGAGTGTTAGACTTTGCAATACATTTCAAAACTGGCATTTTTGTAATACAAATATTTTTATTTTTCTAAGGTATATAAATAACTATAGATTTACCTTACCTTACTTTTAAGTGATATTACTTTAATTTTAATTTTTTCACTTAACATAAATAAACTTAAATTTTAGCTGAACTTGGCTATTTAGTAAAACTTCACAAATTTCTTACATTTTATAAAGGAAAAGAGGTAACATATTGGTTGATTATGAATCTCATGTTTCCCACTACATTGATAATAAAGTTGTAGTCACTTTGGGTTTTTTGGCTGACTTTTATTTTAAGACCACAAAGTTAGTTCACCATCTGGGACTGTTCAAGTGACTTGAGTGCAGTGTTTACAAGAAATTAGCTTACCACAGGCATTTCATTTGGAAATATTTTAGATTTATTAGATTTCTGTTTTTAATTGATTCCTTCTTCCTTTCCATATGGTTTCAACAAATCCATTTCCCACCATTTTCCAGCAAAGATACATAATGTGTACTTTCATTTTTAACCTTCTTCAAATAAAGGTAACTTTTTCCCTAGGGTGTTACAATATTCAAGAATAAAACAAATATTGTAGTATGCTAATGCTGATGATTTCTATAATAACCACATGACTAGTTCCATGGAAATAATGCTAATTTTTTTTTCTCACACTCTGTGGCTCATGTGCTTGCATCTGGTTAACAGCTGGGCTTATGATGTTGCAAGGCCCTGAGATGAAGAAAGGCAAAGGCGAACAGTACACTTCAAGCTTCATTATGTTTCTTATTCTCTTCCAAATCAAATAGGCGTTAGTATCCTAGAGTTACTTGCAGTCATTGCTGGTCACTGGCTATAGTGCCAATGCCAACATCTTTGCTGAGGAATCCAGCTATGATTAATGATTACTTCACTGATGTTCACCATCTTGCTAAGAAGTAAACATGTGCTAAAGTCCTTTGACTTCTCAACTTCTCTTTCCAAGGACAAGTTAAAACATTTAGTTTTTTGGGTTCGTTGGATAGTGTTTAAAAAACAATTAAAAGGGAACATATTTTGCTTTTACTGTAACTGAGAGAGACCTAAAAACTTCCTGTGAAAATCATTTTGCCTTGATACCTTTTATACAGCACCCAAATCTTATGAATTTAATTTAATTTATGTGGGATAACCATGTTAAAATAGGGAATTAATGTTAGATAAGAGATGTTTATAAAACAAACAAACAACAGTAATAACAAAAAGACAGGCTTTTATAAACCAAAGAATTCTTCCAGTGACTTATTTGCTTGAATAGAAAATAGAATCCTCTGGACATTTCCCTGGTTTAAAAAAAAAAGAGAAAAGAAAGACTTCTGACCATTTTTTCTGTAAAACATTAGTTTCCATTCTAATGAAGTCTAGTTATTTTTCCATGTTGCCATTCATGTGGTAACCTCACATGCATCGATGTAAGAAGAAACTAATGACTCAGGGATGAAGAGTATATGTGATAGCAGTGTTCTAACACTGAAACCTTGGCCTCCGTGGAAAACATTATTCTTGATATTGCTGACTCTGACTAAAGAAATGTCATAGTTTAGTAGGATTTATTGAATGAAAACCCACAGTCATAAAAAAAATTTAACAGTGTTATTTACATTAGTAGAATATTCCTACTTTTAAACATAAAATTTTGCTCCATGAAATTCCTTTAAATTAAAAATACTTAATACTTTTAAGAGTTAAAAATATAAATGACAGAGAAGAATGTCATTTACATTGGAACGGTTGGGCCACACCTGAGGTGTACCCTTCCTTGCAAGGGCATAGTTGCCCTGGCAAAGCTAAGTCTGCTGTGCCTAGTGGCAAAACTATAGTTTTAAGAGTCAACGTTTTAGGTGAATGTGACTACCATAGACCTGGAGACACAGAGGCAGTGAAGTGACTTGCAGGTAGAATGCTACCCTAGTGATGGGGGAAAATGCGGAACTTTGATTTCTTATTCCCCAAAATAATAACTATGATCTACTGTTTTCTCAATGGATGAAGAAAGGTATTTCATGTAACTTAAAATACTGATATTCACTTTTCTCCACTCCCCCTTCACTCTTGAAAAAGCAATACAATTCTATTATAATTTGAAATTTGGTGGCTCGAATGTAGAAGGCAGGGAATATTTCTTTTGTAGCTCAGTTCCTTGAATACTATCCTGATTTTACAGCCCTTTATTTAAAGGGGTGGCCACTTAAATCCTGCATATATGAGTATAGTTTATAACAGGTAGTGAGATTACAGTTTGGGGATTTTTGTTGCTGTGTAAAAACTGGTGCTCCTTTGTAATTCTGAGTTTTCAATGCTATATTCTCAAGTTATTAGAGCCGGAAAGATCATAGAGATGATATTATCCAGCTTCCTTGAACAAGAGGAAGCTGAAGCCCTTGGATGTCACCTGGTTTGCCCAAGATCACAAAGGTGGCTTGTGGCAGCTCTGGGACAGGAACCGAATTCTTCTCTTTCCCAGCCTGTGTTCTTACATGGCACAGTGCTGCCTTTGTTTTGAATTGCTCATTTAATTTTTCTATAAATTTAATTTTCCCTATTTCCAGTACTCAGGAAAAGTTTTGCAGGCAACAGGACAGTAAGACGACTTGCTACTGAACATTTTAGCAAATGATTCATTTCCCTTGATCACTCCTTGTGAAGCACTGTACTCTCACCAGTTCCTCCAAGAGGAGAATGTGTTCATTCAGAGGCATGTCTGACTTTGCTCCTGCACTGTAATCATATAATGAAAGGTTCTTTCATAATGTCCCTGTACAAGAGGCAGAGATAAAACCAGCTTTGAGGGATGTAAATGGAGACCCTTCAAGAGTGAGCAGTGCACACAACCTTATCTCACAACTTCCTGACTAGTTGGTGTGTGTTGAAGTTTCAAGCTTGAATTTTTGCTGATGTAGAGCTTTTGCTTGTTACATTTTGTTGGTCCTCTTTCCATGGGATATCTGATACCGAGTACCTACTGATTTTTTTTAAAACAACTTCCTCTGCCTGGTTTACTGTATCAACTTATGTTTATATATTTTCCCCAACATTCCTAAAAAGTCACTTCTGGGTAGATTTTTTCATACCCCTTTCTCCCTTCTAGTAATTATTGCCACAGAAATGACTTGAATAAAAATGATTTCCATCTGTTAGAAATTTGCTATTTTTTAAACTCCTACTTTAGATTCTGTTGTAACTTTCATGATGTACAGGGCTCACTGTGTTGATACATTCCCTCAGTGTCTTTTGTTACTGTTTTAGATTTTCTATAATGGACTACAAATGGGATGTACATTTATTAACATTCATACATCTTAAATTGCCTTTTGTATTTTCTTTTGCTAAAGTTTATTTTTTAGAAATTATGAATAAGCATTGAATTGTGCTGGATTCAAGTTACCATTTTTAAACTTTGAAATGAAGTTGAGCATGTAACCACATCATTTAGTAACCTATTTATTGACTGCCTTACTACAAGGGTATTGTGGGAACATAAAGGAGTATATAATATGTGCTTCTCTGACTTCAAAGGGCTTAGAAATATAATAGGGGCTACAAGACAGAAATTCATTTTTTTAAAAGACTAAAGAGCAACAGTTAAAATGGCTCATGGTTAAGAATTTGCTAGAAAGCAAAGAATAAACATTCTGGTAAGATGATGTCTGAATACCAGAAAAGTATTACTTTTGTTGTTGTTATGTACGAGAATGATGTTTGTGCTTTGAAGAAATCCCAAGTGTGTTAGTAAGAAATCTGCCATGGTGGACAGTGTACAGTTTAAAACATTATTTTACTGAAGTGTAAACTTTTGTAAAATGTCACATTAACCAAAGTGGAATTAGAAGTGACTGTATCTTAGAGTCAGAATTTAAATTAAAGCTTAGAGATTAAGTCTCACTACTTTATAGTATAAACTAAAAATAAAAATGGACCTTTACTGGCCGGGCGTGGTGGCTCACGCCTGTAATCCTAGCTCTCTGGGAGGCCGAGGTGGGCGGATTGTTTGAGCTCAGGAGTTCGAGACCAGCCTGAGCAAGAGCGAGACCCCGTCTCTACTAAAATTAGAAAGAAATTAATTGGACAACTAAAAATATAGAAAAAATTAGCCGGGCATAGTGGCGCATGCCTGTAGTCCCAGCTACCGGGAGGCTGAGGCAGGAGGATCACTTGAGCCCAGGAGTTTGAGGTTGCTGTGAGCTAGGCTAATGCCACGGCACTCACTGTAGCCTGGGCAAAAGAGTGAGACTCTGTCTCAAAAAAAAATGGACCTTTACTTATTGCTGCTTTGTGCCAGGTACTCTGCTAAACACCAAAATGTATAATCTCTTCTATTTCTTACAATAATCCTGTGAAATATTTTCTAGTTGTAGCCCCGTTTTATAGGTGAAGGAACTGTGTTGTTTAATTATCTTGTATTAGTAATACATTTTAAAAATTTACCTTATGTAGATCAAAGGTAAATGAAATGTATTTGCATCCATCTTTTGTGGGTTTTATACTCTGGATGAGCATTTACCTCCCTTAATTAGTCTGTTGATGAATATAGGTGCCTGGAGACATGGCGTGTAGCTGCCCTCCTCTGTGGAAATTTGTACCTGTAAATCCATAAAACATGTTCATTTCCTTATAGAGGTAGATTTTATGAAAAGTTAGAAGCAGAATATACTAGTTATAAAAAGACAGCGACGAGAATTTAAGAACGGAAATCAGTGTCTTGTTTTTGCATTTTTACCTTAATTTCCTTTAAAAGTCCTGAGATTTATATTACTTATTAAAAATTATTTTGTTGGAGGCGTCAGACTACCAGACTTCAAAATATACTA